TAATGTGATCACCCATGTAAACATTTACATTGCCCTATAACTGTTGTTGTTTTCGGAATTGATTTTACAAACATAGTGATGTGAACATTCACATTACTGTTCATTACTGGATAAACTTACATTAGTAGACACTGATGTGAGCATTCACATCAGTGTATAATGATGTGAATGTTCACATTACTGTCACTGTTGATATTGTTGATTGTTAATGTCCATAGAACCCCCAATCTTCACTCAACAATGTGATGGAATATGATGTAAACATTCACATTGTGACATCAATGCCAGACTTGATTGTGTTGTTGGGTGTTGTTTGGTGCTGTTGGTCCCACCCTTTATTTTGCAACCAATTATAACATAATGTGATCACCCATGTAAACATTTACATTGCCCTATAACTGTTGTTGTTTTCGGAATTGATTTTGCAAACATAGATGATGTGAACATTCACATTACTGTTCATTACTGGATAAACTTACATTAGTAGACACTGATGTGAACATTTACATCAGTGTATATTGATGTGAATGTTCACATTACTGTCACTGTTGATATTGTTGATTGTTGATGTCCATAGAACCCCCAATCTTCACTCAACAATGTGATGGAATATGATGTAAATATTCATATTGTGACATCAATGTCAGACTTGTTGGTGTTGTTGGGTGTTGTTTGGTGCTATTGGTTCCACCCTTTGTTTTTCAGCCAATTATAACATAATGTGATCACCCATATAAACATTTATATTGCCCTATAACTATTGTTGTTTTCGGAATTGATTTTGCAAACACAGATGATGTGAACATTCACATTACTGTTCATTACTGGATAAACTTACATTAGTAGACACCGATGTGAACATTCACATCAGTGTATAATGATGTGAATGTTCGCATTACTGTCACTGTTGATATTGTTGATTGTTGATGTCTATAGAACTCCCAATCTTCACTCAACAATGTGATAGAATATGATGTAAATATTTACATTGGGACATCAAGGTCAGACTAGAATTAATGTAAATGTTTACATGGGTGATCACATTACTGTTCATTACTAGAATTAATGCAAAATCAATGTAAATGAACAGTAATGTGAATGATCCATCCACAAATATACTAGAATTAATGTGAATCTTCACATCTATTTGTTACATTGTGAATATCACATCGTTTTTGTGTCAAAATAAACATTGTGGATGATTGAAATACAACAGTCTGATATGAACTTTAACATTACAATTGCATAGTAATAATAAACACAGTGAAAATATATACACTATCTATATATTATCATGATTTTGGCGAGGGTGCGAGTTGAGGTGGGGTTGCAGAGGAGAGAGAATTAGCAGATAGTGTGAAAAATGAAGGAAGAGAGGTGGTGACAGTGGGCAGCAAGGTCGGAGTGGGTGGAGAGAGGGAGGGAGAGAGAGAGAGAGAGAGAGAGAGAGAGAGGGTTTGGAGGAGAGAAGAGATGGTGGAGTCGAAGGTGGAAGGGTTGAGGATGAGAGATTGATCGAGATAGAGCTTGCAAAGAAGTGGAGGCAGTTGTGGGTTGGTTGAGAATTTGCTCGAATTTGGCACGAAGTTATTGCTCCATTTATGGAGTTGCTGTGCTGTGAAGTTCTCTGAAGCAATTTGAGATAATGGAGTTGGTGTATGTTGTGCTGTGAAATTATATATATATATATGAAATGTGTATCCTTTTCCTATGTAATACATATCAACAAATAGACATAAGGGTATAATAGTCCAACAAATACTATAAATTAGGAAAAAAGGACCTCATGGAATAAAAGTATAAATAGATGGGACTAATTAGGTTATAATTTTCCTTGGTGGACTTATTGGGTTAAAACACCTCTAAATGAGATTTATCAATAAAAAAACCCATCTAGGATTTATTGGTGCATCACCCTATAATAAATAAATAAATTATTTTTATTTTTAAAAAAAATTAAGACAAATATTAAAATAAACAGGTACACTTGGTTTTTTTTATTATTATTATATAAAATAAACTCAATCCCCTCACTATTTTTCTAATTCCACCCAAAATCTAACCAAGCTAATCCCCCTACTGAAGGGGATTACTAAACCCCTTGGACTATCAATTCGCCCTTCCATTTCACTGCAAAACATGTTGTGTATGGGACCCACAACCATGGTAGTCCAATCCGGTCACTCAAGCCGCGAAACAAGCATAGCCATATAGATTTGAAAATATTTTTGGGCGAATTACACTAACAGTCCCTATAGTTTGGGGTTCATGTCACTTCGGTTCCTGACTTTTCAATTGTGATACATTTGACCCTAAATTTTGAATCTTGTTCCAAATGAGAACAATTGAAGATAACATTGCTCAATTTCAAGGGCAGAGTCATTAATTTGATAAAATATAAACTAATTTGACAAAAATAAATGTCAAAAAAATATTTTTGAATTTTTAAAAATTATTTATACCCATCAAAAATAAAATTATGTAAAATTGATAAATCTTTTACACATTTATTTATTTGTTTATTTTACCAAATTAGTTTTTATTATGTGTTTAGATGATGATCGTATAATGAGTGGTTATTTTTATTTTCATTAAATTAGTTTCTATTTTTCCAAAAAGTCAAATATGGTGATAACTTTGATATTATTATTAAACCAATCCATTAAATCATAAAATCCAAAACTAAAAATATTTCATATATTAAATATATCGATTACACATTAAGAGTTTAACAACCACCAATTACACGATCATTATCTAAACACATAATAAAAATTAATTTAATAAAAAAAATAAACAAATGTGTAAAAGATTTATCAATTTTACATAATTTTATCTTTGGTGGATAGAAATAATTTTTAAAAATTTAAAAATATTTTTTTGACATTTATTTTTGTCAAATTAATATATATTTTATCAAATTGACGACTTTGCCATTAAAATTGAGCAATGGTATCTGAAATTGTTCTTTTTTGGAACAAAATTCAAAATTTAGGGTCAAATGCATTACAATTGAAAAGTCAAGAACCAAAATGATACGAACCCCAAATTATAGGGACTGTTAGTGTAATTCGCCCAATATTTTTCTTAAAAGCTAACTGTAAAATTTCACATCCTATACAAGGCGCGGGCATAAATATTTATTTTGGACCATTTTCCCTCCATTTTCTAAAATGCTCAACGTTAATAATTAATGAATTAAAACTTATAAAATTAAAAACTCAAAAAAATCAATTCATAACACAAGAAAATCATTCAAAATCCTAAACTTTTAAATAAAATCATAAACCAACACATGCACATCTTTCAAAATTCTAAACTAAATCATCAAAATCATTCACTAGTCAACAATACAATTAAAGTTGGGCAAATTAGGATTTGGTTTGTTGGGAAAACATATCTAAGATAGGATGAATGAAATTAACAGTGCAGGTTTAAAAATAAATAAATAAATTAATTTTAAAAAAAAGTCTAAGGCCTCGTTTGGCAACAGGCTGGTTTAGCCAAAAAACTAAAAAGTTACTAAAAAAGTCAAAAAGTCAACAACACATATCAAAAAGTCAAAGATTCTCTTTTCTCTCTACTTTTTGCACATCTTTTCATAAAAAATCAAAAAGTCATCCCAAACATACTAGGTTTTTTTAGCTCATATTTTAGTCAAATAGCAAAAAATTTACTAAATTAGCATGTTTCCAAATGAGGCCTGGATAAAACTCGTAACCCGCAATAATGCCATATTTCATACTGCATCCGCCAGTATTGTGTCTGTGAAACCGCTTATTTGCATCCAGATCGGTTCGGATTGAGTGGATTGGGCGGTTCGAATAATCCTATACCCAATCCTAATAACAAGTAAGAAGTGGGTACCTAAAAGCTTGCCTCAGACAGGCCTGTACCTCACTAATTTTGGATAGAAGTCCAACTCGGGCAGGTTGAACCAAGCAATTTGAGTTTAGTTTGAATTTTTTTAAGATTTAGATAAAATATTTTTAAATTCAGCATGAATTTAGAAACTTGAATTAAATTTGGACAGGTTTGGATAAAGATACCAAACACCTCAAGCATTTCAAAGTTTGAATTATATTTATATATATTAAAGGGAGCTGCTATTTTCATTCCTTTTTTTTTTCAAATATATTCCATTCTTTGTCCTCATTATACATAATTACATTAACACCCTTAGAATTTTGATTTTTTTAGAGAGTGTATTTTGTATAAAAGGATATTAATGTAACTATATATAATAAACGAAAAAGAAGGAAATGTATTTAGAGTAAAGTGAAGTGAGAATAACGACTCCCTTATTAGATATACATATAAATTATTATTGATTTGATAATGTGAAGTAATTTAAATTATTAAATCATATTGAATATTTATTATATATAAAAGTTTCGCAACATAAAATCGTATATTTTTATTTTCTCATTATGAAATTATAAAAACCACTGTAACAATATAATGGTTATTCAATTCTCATATCTCTCACATTATATAAATTATTTTTTTTAATATTATTAATGATTTTATTAAAAAAATATAAATAGAATTTAATTTTAACAAATTAATTAACTTAGCTACACTAAAAAAAAGAAAAAATATAAATAGAATTTAATTTTAACAAATTAATTAACTTAGCTACACTAAAAAAAAGAAAAAAAAAATCAAATTTATATGCAATTTGGACAATTCAGGCAACTTGTACGATTCAGGCCTAACTCGTGTTGAGTTTGAGTAGACGACCTTGGATTATAATTAGAACTTGGGCAAGCCAAGACAGCTCTCAACACACTTTGACTGGGTGTAAATAACCACTCAACCCGCTTGTGTTACATTTCTAATTCTGAAGATGTAGCAATTTGGTAATGGGCTTAGTCCCATCTACTCACCACTCTCAACAAAAAAAAAATAAAAATAAAAACAAAAACAAATAAAATAAACAATAATGATTGAAGCACACAATTTTTTCCCTCTGTATCCCGCTCCCCTTATTCGGGGATTCAGATGGAAAAAATTATGTGAATAAATCGTTTATCTAAAATAAAATTGATGGGAATGTAACTCCTCCAGTAACGCCAACTGTTATCGGTAAAATACACAACTCCATTTCTCTGATCAATGTCCAAACCATTGGCGAGCCCAAAAGGAATCCCTTGTGCCTTTGTTGCAACCTTGGTGGCCAAGCCACCCTCAGGGCCTACGACGGCAAGGCCCATATATGCATCGGCGATGTAGAGATGGCCGGACATTTGGTCGAACCGGAGGCCCAATGGGTGCCCACAAATGTGCTCCATTTGTTCATGGTCATGTGAACCTTCACAAGCATCTCTGAAACCAGAATAAATGTGAATTGGGATTTTAAAGTGTTTAGGTGAAAGAGACATATGGTTAGTTGGGGGCACAGAAACCCCAGTGGCAGTGGGGTAGCTTCTGCTACTCATTGACCTTTGATTACAAGAATCATCGAGATACAAATTAAATTATCAATTTGTTTTTTTTTTTTTTTTTTTTTTTTTACAATATTCACAAGGGTGTGGGATGCAAAAATTGGATTACTTAACTACTTTATTTGGGCTAACCAGACCCATGAAGCCTTTTTGAGGTCAAAATTAGAAGAAAATAGAGCTACAACATTCCATTCCAATATTGGAAAGAAAAAGAAGTGAGAATATGTAAAAGGTTTTGTAATCTGCTGTAATAGCATTCCAGTTCATTCATGTTGTTTCTAGTTGTACTTTCTGTTTTTCCATTCTTCTAATCAAATTAATGCAAACGAATTGCAACCATAAATATTATAAACAAAAAAAAAATCTCGAAATGATATGATAGTAAGGTTTTATAAAATAATAAACCACTTTGATTGATCTTTTGGTTGAAAATGAATCGATACAAATTTTCCATATTATTTTGTATATATTTTCCCTCCCTATTTTTGTTAGCTAGATTTAGGGATGTTCAAAAAAATCAGTGGAATCGGTCAATTGATTCAATCTAGTCCAAATCGTCGATTTGATCTGATTTTTTTAGTAACAGTTCTGGTTATGAAAATGGTGCAACCATTCAAATCGATCCAGTTCCCGATTCCAAAGCTTTGGTTACAATTCCGAACCGAACCGGACTGTGACATATTTGTTTATTATTTTTTATATAAAAAAATTAAAATATAAAATGTTTCTTATAAGATTTGAACACTAGCCATCATTGTAAAATTGATAAACTAACCAACTTAACCAAACTAATTACTATTAATTTGTTTACTAACACAAAATACATATCATATTTATTATTATATAAAACTCCCAAAACAGTAAACTGAACCGGACCGAACGAAATCAGTTTTTATGGTTCGGTTTTGGTCGCCTTCCACAGTTTTACGGTTTAGTTACGGTTCCAATTTTTCTGGAATCCTAAAAGACCCATGTTCCTTGATTACTCTAAAACTAGATCAATCCGATCCCTGTACACCCCTAGCTAGATTTACACTATTAAATGCATTTCTTGATAAATATAAGTTTAAAATAATTGATGATCTAATTGTTGCTTGTATGATTTGTAAAAGCCAATTGCAGAGTGACACGTGGCACCTAAAGGGCAATTTGGGAAATTAATACAAGTCTTCAATCAAAGACAGACACGTGGCAGTTCATATTGGTAGTATCGGATCTGAGTGGCATCTGAATAGTCAAGAGGCGCGAGATGACATAGCCTAACGGTTACCCACAATTCAAATTTAAATTGATAAGGAAAGCCTAACTGCAAAAGAGGCATAGTAGGAGCTAGTTGAGCGAAGCCATGACCAGAGATCGTGGAGATGTATTTTGACTGTTAGAAGGCCACTTCAACGGTTATCACTAAAGAGTATAAATAGCAGAGAAGGCTAAAGAGAAAGGGACCCAGACTCAGATCCAGAAACCAGTCATTTACTTAATATTTTCTTTCCAGTTCTTTATATTTCCAGCACTTCAATTCTTGTACTGCACTTCATGTCCTAGGAGTAGTTTCAAATAATTTGTTGATGTAAACCTCTACGAGGCTGAGTCATATCATTGTAAGTTTTCATTTGCTTAATGAAATTTAGATTCTAAAATTGTTCTTCACTTATTATTATTTAGTAATTTCTCCTAAACAAACCGCCAGTAAAAGTCTTTTTCATTGAGACTGATAGAACTATAACACAATCGTCGGATAATTGGGGTGCGATTAATATTCTGTAAGGACTAATTGATCCTTGTTGGCACGCTTAAGTTTACATTATTAGCCTTTGAAAGCCAAAAAAGCCAACATATATTTTTGGCACACCCAATGGGACTATTAAAAGTGGCTAGACGTAGAGCAAGACGAGAAAATGAAAGCCTGGAACAAGGTGTGGAAGAAGAGGTAGAAATACCTAACCCAAAAAACAATGTGATGGATGCAGCTATCCCATTAGATCCTCCGCAAATGGTCAAACAGACCAGCAATTCAAAATATACAACTCCTGTCCAACACACTGGACAGGGACATGAGACTGGACCTTCGAATGTTCCTTCTACCCAACCCCTGAATCCATGGGGAGGTTTAGTATACGCTATGGGACAACAACTAATGTATACAATGGAAAGATGGGCAACATCCTTTTTGGATCGAATGAATTCTCATCAACCAACTGCTGTAAGACAAACTGAAGGAAATGTAAATAGTCCTCAGTAACGATTGGCTCAAGATAAACAGCCTATGCAAAATAATGGACAAGTTAATGGTCAAACTAGTAGTCACAACCATGAGAGGCCAGCACCTATGCCTCAGTCATGGTATGAAACTTCTTCGATACCAAAAGCCACTCAGAATGTACCATTCTTTACCTGCGAAACCATACAATTTGGTGGATCTGGGCCAGCTCAGGGTAATGGCATGAGGGCATTTCCAAATCTTATGTTTGAGAACATGCTTGGCACAAGGGGTTTCACCAACCCTGTGTTTGAGTTTGCACCCGGGGGGTTGTAAGGATTTCATGCAATTGGAAGAGAAGTAACACCTACTTCTCCTCCTGCCGTACCTTTCGCAAGGCAGGCCCCAAAAGGCCATCCATACCTTCAACAGTAGCCAATACAGCAGGGACAACCAGCCCTGAATGTACCCGCATATGAACTAAGAGGCCCACAAGCACATGGTGCTCCTTCAAACCCTGTGTTTGTCCCTCCAATAGTGGTTCAACTAGCACAAAATATGGTTCCAAAGGACCAAATTGCTAATATAGTTAAAGAAATGTATGGACCTATGACTCGGGGGGTCCAGACACCAGTATATAGAAAACCTTACCCAGAGTAGGTAGACAGGGTACACGAGTATCCTAGGGGTTTAGAATACTAGACTTTGCCCTCTTTTATGGTAATGGAAATCAGTCAACAGTGGAACACATTGCTAGGTTTATAAGCCAGTGTGGTGAGTTTGCTAATAATGATTACATCAAACTGAGACTTTTTCCAAGTTCTCTAACTGGAGCAGCCTTCGTATGGTACGTAAACCTTACACCTGGCTCTATCCAAACTTGGCAGCAAATGGAGGAAGTTTTTCATGCCCAATTTTTCCAAACAGAACCTGAAGTTTCTATGGCAGACTTGGCAAGATTGAGCCAAAGGCCCGATGGAAAGGCTATTCAGTTTATTGTGAGATTTAAAAGGGCACAGAACAAATGCAGGGTCATGCTACCAGAGCCTGAATTTGTAAGATTGACTCAGAATGGCTTGAAATTTAGGCTTCGAAAGAAGTTTGATTCAACTGAGTTTTGAGACTTAGTAGAGTTAACCTATAAGGTGTCTAGATATGAAACTTTACTCGAGGAAGAACAAGATCGAAATAATGCATCATGTAAGACTTACTATAGGGACCCTAATTATGAAATTGATGCAGTAGAGATAGTAGGAAAAGAACCTATGACTTGTGAGGCATTAATTCAGAAAGACAGTGTAATAGACCAGCAGTTTAAAAAAAAAAAAAACTTCATAGAAAATATTCTTTCAATTTAACTTTGACTTAACAAAAGCAGATGACATTTTTGATCATTTTCTTGCAGCAAATTTCCTAAAGTTACCAAAGGGAGTCAAAATTCCTACCCTTGAAGAACTTAAAAGAAAACTATATTGTAAATGGCATAATTCTTGGTCTCATTCAACTAAAAACTGTATTGTTTTCCGAGACAGGATCCAAGAACAAATTCCGAAGGGGAGGCTAAAGTTTCCAGCCAAGTCTGAGAAAGTTATGGGAATTGACACCAACCCATTTCCAAAAATTGGAGAGGCTGCAGTCAATGCTGGCATGCCAAATTTCCAAAACCTATCCTTGAAAGAATTGAAGGAAGTCACTGTGCAGATGCATGTGGCTAGCCAGAGTACTCTTAGGAAGAACACAAGAACTTCACCAACTGATGGACCAAGCTCTGCAGGCATAAAAGAAAACTTTAGTGAAGAGATATTCGATGATGACCCTCTCGAAGCTGCTATAATGCAGAGGATGTGCCCCAGGTGCAGGATGTGTTACAAGTGGCCGAAAGGGCTCCCAGTTAATGGGAAACAGCATTACAAAGAGGTGCAGAGGGACCAAATAACCAGCATCCACAACAAGAGGCCATACCCAACTGGCCTCAGGCAGCATTCGTCCTTGGTAACCCCACCTGACACCAGGATGCAGTCCGGCACTTAAGAAAAGAGGCCTCTGTATGAAACTAGGCCACCCAATTATTACAGAGTAGACAGTCAGCTTAAGAGGAGGCATGGATTCAATGCAAGGCAGGGGACCAAGACTGATAATTTGCCCCTGAATACTGCTTCGAAGATTGGTTCAAAGAATGGGCAACAGATCCAGCAGCCAGACCAGTGGGCTCATGGGTTCCAGATTGGTTTGTTATACAGAATAAACCTAAGGAGATGTCAACTTAAGGAAAAGTTTTTGGAGACTAGGGAAGAATGATCAAACCTCCCTTGGTAGCTCCAAACAACTGGGTGTTATTAAAGAACCCCAAAACAAGGAAGCCAGATGTGGTTCCTATAATTTCTAGGTCTCAAAGAAGGAAGATCCAACGAAGATACATCCAGTATCAGAAGAATCTGAAAGAAAGTGGAGAGAGTACTTCTATGGCACAAGCCAAGGATCAGACAAATGAAGGGATAGGTTCAAAGCCTGTTCCCAAGATCAAGAGGAGTCCCAGCATAAAGCAGTTGGCAAAAGTTCATGTTGAACTAAGGCTTTAATGGAAAGTGACGATGAAATGGATGAAGGGACTGAACTAGGCCAAGAGAGAACATTGGCTGAAGATGGAATATTTGAGGCTTTCATGGCTGAGCAAACCTTTT